TTGGGGCGAAACTTTCGGAGGTGACTTGGGAAGTAGATCGTAAGCACGGGGCACGCGTGTCGGACAAGTAGACCTAATCAATTCTCGCGTAATCCGCAAACGTTTGCGCTGAGAAATTGATATCGCCTATGTTTGCTCGCTAACACCTCGTCAAACAGAGCGAACTTTCGAGCGTCGGTCTCGTGCGTAGACGTCGTCGAACGATCATAGGTCACGCAGCGTGTCGCAGCGCTAGAGCTGTTACAAAAATTCTCTGATTTATCGTTAGACAGACCTCGTGGTCTATGAATACATATCTACCGATGAATCGGTGGGAAGCGCACGAAACCACGGCCAACTGGTAAACACCGGATTCGACTCGCGAGATTCACGCGCGATCGAAAGCAGGTATCGAAAAGTGGGGAAACGAAGTTAGCGGGGGACTTATCCTCTTACTCGCTATCGAGGACGCTGATCGCTCATAGGTAAAAATAACGAGACTCATGGGCTGTTGGCTGATGGAAAAGCACGCGGTACACCGTGAAAAAGGAGGATGCGCCCTTGTCACGCGAGTGCGTTATCCTTTCCCTCGTGGAATCGATTCACGAGCAACGACCGATAAACGTTAACAGAGAGTGAATTTCGCTTTTCCGCTGGACACGCGTTAGAGCCGCTCGCAATTAGCGTCCGTCTGAGCATCGACCGCCGTTGCCTTTCTAGCCGGCAATCAACGCGGCTAAATCTTGTAGAGACGAAGGTTGCTCGCTTTCTTCACGGTTATCTGCCGGTTAGATCCATTGTTTGACCAGCGATCCAAGGAGAGGAACATAATAACGGATAAAGGTTGAAGTCGCGATAAAAGACACTTGAGGCCGCTTATCAGCGCGATTCCATTCACTTTCGTGTCGTTTATCGGTGAAAGCCGGCTTCTTCGATCGATTTGAACTCCTCCTCCTCCATCGCCCGACCTTTCCTCCCAGTATTTTCCGCCGCGCGTACGATCCACGGAACGCGTGGAATTTCGACAAGACAACTCTACTTACCCTCTAATTCACTGGAAGACTCGAACGTCCTTCGATCGCGAGTTTCTCTCTTCGTGCGCGATCGCGTTTTATCAGGCAGCCCGCATCACACCGCGCGCGAAAACCAGCACGTCGGCGCACCGATCGAAACAACTCCAAGATCTTGATCACTCGCTCTCACCTGTGCCCACGGTTACCATGTCATTTCACGTTCGCCACCGGTACAGAGGTGCAGGCTGGAAGCAGAGATCGGAAGGAAAAGTGTAGACTAATCGACGAGAGAGATGAAATTCGATTGGTTATAAATCAACGCCCCTCCGCCCCTCTCTCTTCATCGATATCACCATCTAGCCGTTTCTAATCGAAATAAAAAACGATCCACTACTGCCTCCGCCCTTCGCCTTCCTCCGTTCGACACTTCCACCGGTATACCCGGAATACGCGGTTGTCTGGCTGTAATCGAGCTTAGGAAGATATCTCCGATAAGCGTTAACGCCACGACGATTCCGCTACACTTTGTACAAATAAAGTCTCGAGTGTTCGTGTTAATTTGTAACACTCGAGAGAGACACGCGCGATAGTAACGACGATAATTCAACGATAATATTTTCGGTACGTGCACAACGCTCGGATTAGATAAGAGGAGAAAGAACGAAATACACTTATCTTCCTGTTGTTTTTTAAGAAGAACGCTGTGAACGTCGCGTGTCGAAATACAGCAACATATCTCTCCGTTTCCGCGTTGTTCTCTCGATACACGAACGGAGAGGAGAAATGTATCTCCTTCGGAAGAGTTCCCCTACGATCGTAGAGGGTGCAAGGAGGCGAGAGAAGAAAATAGTCCGGCGAGAAACGTCTTGACAGGTGTCAGAACGATCGGGGGGAGAGGCAAGGGTCAAACACCGAGAAAGTTTAACGCGCAAGACCTTCGAGTTTCCCTCAGGATCGCAACCGGGTGTCATCTTTCCAGCAGACGGAGAGAAGAACGGATGGAAATGTCGCGGATTCTATGTGAGAAAGGGGATAAAAGTAGCTGGAGGTACACGCGCGTAACTGGGTAGCAGGGAGAGAGAGAGAGAGAGAGTGTGTGTGTGTAGTCGTTGAACCCCTGGCTCCACTGTGTGTGCAAAAGGTTCGAGCGAGGTACGTGCGGCGCGTATCCGCGGCGCGAGAATACTGCTACTCGCGGACGGTGGAGGCAGCTTCACCCTCTTCGGTATTGATCCACGTGGCCGCCTCGACTCTCAGCCCCACCGCCTCTTCGCGACCGTCCACCGACCGATGGCTACCGATCCATCCACTCCAAACTGTTCATCCCCCTTTTTTTCCCCATCTTTTTATCCTCCTCTCCTATCCCTTCTCTCTTCTTCTTCTATCCATTTTTCTTCCCCGAGTGCGTCCAGACGTCCACGCGTTGTTTCGACCATTTCGATTCAAACGTGTTAAACCGCCCCTCGGAGCTGAGATCGTCCTTAAGATCTCGCGGATCGGGGATCGAATTTTCTTCGGTGAAATAAGCACTTCTCGTTTGGAGAATTTTATCGTCGTTGGAATTTGTTTGCAGGGAGGAAATCTTGTGCACAGTAGAGGTTTCGTCGAGAGAGAGAGAGAAGATAAATAGAAGCGGTGAGAAAATTTAGCCGTAAATTCGTGCTGTTGCTGGCGTTGCTTCGAGAGCAGAGCTGTAAAACTGGGATCGTTCCCTCGGCGCGTAGGGTCGGAAGCTGGAGGCGGAGGGATCATCCGCTTGGATGTAGGTCGTTGCCCCATCTTCCCGCGCGAAAACACCTCCGAGGCGGGTCCGACACGCGTTTTATTTCGAGCAAATAAGAATCTTATTGGATATACGGCTTAATTCGACGCGTCAGGTGTTTTCTGTTTCGAATTTTCTTCTCTTCGTTTGGCGAAATGTTTATTTTATACGTTACGATAAATTGTAATGCGAATCGATATATCTGTGTACTATAAAAGACTTGTTAATAAAAATGGAATTATTACTTGTTGTTTTAAAATTGCTTTTCTGTGCACGAGCTTTGTAAAATCGTGTACGGTAATTAGAGGCTTTCTTTGAAAAACGAAGGGTTTCCTGTATATATGGATATGTGCATGTATATACGAACAGCTCCTCGTACATCGTCGTACCAGATAAAGTTTATTTCTGCTAGGCACGTAAGAAGAATGTAGGATCGATGGTAAATTTTTCAGAGATCCGCGAAGAGTCGGTAAAACGTCTGAGATTATCCTACGAAGGTACAGAGTGTTGTGAACGTCGGTTGGTAAAACAGAATTGATCTCTCGCTCAATCTTCGTGCGTGCGACTAGTGCTGTGGATGGTATGGACTTAATACCTTATGGAACTTTGCAACCACTGCACGAGGGCCGAGAAGACCCTTATCATTGTCGTGTTGCGCCCAACGTTACCGATTATACGATAAATAAAGTACTTACTTCTAAATATGCAATAAAATGTGTTTTACTATCGTCATTCTTAGTAACGCTAAAGCAATTAAAAATTGATTATAGGTATCATTTAAATATAATAAAATTGACGAGGATAGCAATAGCAAAGAGAGACAGGGAAATGAAGAGTAAGAGTGGTAGATAAGGATAGCAATAAAGCAATGCGTTAGACAAGGAAAGGTATAGGGATAGGCAAGGACAGAAAAAAAAAATGGCGGGCGAGACAACGTCATCTCGCGTTTGGTGACGTGAACTACCACTTTTTAATAGGAACACAGAATACCAACAGAGGTGTTAGACAAGGAAAGCACTAGTGTGCGAGAAGGATAGAGAGAAAACGCTTCCTATTGGCTGGTGGGCACCCAAGCTCCACCTCCCACGAGCTAAATTAAGTCGGTCGGTGAAAAATCTCTAATAACTCGATAATTACGATGATTTTGTGAACTTTTAGAATTGAAGAATCAAGTGTGGATCTTCAGCAACTTTCACATGTAATTTTTAAGGCTCTAGGTCCTTTCAATAATTAGTTATTAATATTTGTTGTGCCAGTTGTCGGGAACGATACGACAGTTCATCACCGTCTTTCATTAATACCGTCGTTCAGTATTAATTCTATGTACAATTATCATATGCATCTACAAGGGAGTACCTGTGGCTACATTCTCCTGCAATATTTATCGACATGTTCCTTGTGGTTTCATAGTTATTTAACATTCTTTGAGGGAGTATTACACTCGTCGCATACAATAGTAACACATTTGCGTTATTTCGATAGACATGCGTTACTAATTGTGCACTTTCAAGCATGCAGAATGTAGAATGGACTTTCCTTTATATTCTTCAATCATTTTGGTAACTATAAGTGACGTGGTTTATTAGATATTAGCAATTGTTTAGAACATTCGTCTATACTCGAGTACGACGAGTAGGGGACTCTCCCCTATAATGACTAATAACTCTTTAACTAAACCCAATATGTTAATACAAATTATATAAGAATATTGCGAAAGGAGTTACCTTTCAGACGCATATAGTTAGTTGCACGAGATTTTAGCAGAAAGCTGTGAAATTATTGAAATACCGTAAAGACATGCGGTATCGTTCCCGACATCGCGTACTGAAATTGTTAATAACTAATTATCGAAAGGGTTTGGAGCACTAAAATCGACATGAGAAAGTTGCGGAAGATCCACACTTTGTTCCTCAACTCTAAAAGTTCGCAAAATCATCGCAAATGATGAGTTATTAATGATTATTCTAATTC